ATTTGTTTTAAGTTTTTTAGAGGCAAGGTCTTGCTACGTAGTGCAGGCTGTCCTGCAACTCACTATGTAGCTCAGGATGACCTCGAACTCAAGATCCTCCTGCCTCAGCCTCCAGAGCGCTGGGATTACAGGTGTGTGTCACCACGCCTGCGCTTCTGCAGAGCATATGAATTCCTCACCAGCCCTCTACTTTCCAGTGTACTCTTAGCATCCTGGTCACACTCTCGACAGCACTGTGTCAAGATTAACAGACTTCCAGCTGGTCTTCTGCCTCCTGACTCTCAAAGCATCTTCCACTCACTGGCTGAAGTGGAACCCCGCCCACATTACTCCTCTGCCCAGTAACCTCCAGCGGCTGGCTCCCTTTGGTTCATTCTGCAGCCAAAGTACTCCACAGTACGGCCCTGTGTCTGAAATTTGTTTAATATATCTGCTGCTTCAACATCTGTTTTCAGACCCGACATAAATGGTTTGAAAGCCAAGTTTCTTTGCCACCTTTGGCTCGGAGGTTAAATTTCCCTCGTCGTGTGGTTTTTGCCCTGTGGTCCGTGTATTCCTCATTCTCTAACCCCAAACCCGCAGCGGCTAGATGCAGTGAGACCTGGGGGTCAGTGTCAGAGCCCACTCCACCCTGCCTTCTTTAACCAACGCAGCACCCCAAAAAGCCTAGGGGGTAACAGCCCAATCGTCATCACCCCCCACATCCTCTCTTGTGTTCCCACCCACCGGAGGAGCACCCCGCTGCCCTCAGCCTCCTCCTGACGCCCCTGGGAGCTGTAAGTAACAAATTTCTTCACTTCAAGCATTTTGGGGGTCACCTCCTCAGTGGGCCTCACCTGAGCAGCACGCGTGGGCCTGACTGTCCCACTCAGGGCTCTGCCGAGGCGGCTGTCCTGGCTATGGCCACTCTGCGTTATTGTCTGTATTTGTATCGGTACAGGGCTGCAGTCCATCATTGTTACCGTCCTTGGGGAGAGCTGGTCCACTTACATAACACACCTCGATTATTTTTCATTCCCTCCCTGCTCCCCCACCTCCCTCTTGCAAAAGATCTACCTCCCTGTTTCCTATTATCTGTCTTTTCCTTGTTCTGTATCTATAGCTTGGGTTTCTCATATTCAAGCTTGTGTATCTGATTTATTTCACTTAACGTAATGGCCTCAAGGTGCATCCATTTTCCTACAACTGACTCAAGTTTATCCTTGTCAATGGCAGAGTAGTACTCCATTATGTATAAATACTACATTTTCTTTACCCAATCATCTGTAGATGGATATATAGGCTGCTTCCAACATTTACCTTTTATGAGTTGTGCTGCTACAAACATGAGTAGGCATGAGAATTGCATGACATGATGTCTTTAACTTTTGGGAAAGGCCTAGCTGGGTTGAATGGAATTTCTAGCTTTGGTTTATTGAGGAATCTCCACATTGATTTTTTGGCCACTGTTGACAATGAGGCTGGGTGTGGTGGTGCACACCTATAATCCCAGCACTCAGGAGGCTGAGGCAGGAGGATTGTTGTGAGTTCGAGGCCAGCCTGGGCTACAAAGTGAGCTCAAGGCCAGCCTGAACTGCATAGCGAGACCCTGTCTCAAAAAGAAAGAAAAAAAAAAAAAGACAATGATGCCTTAAGACCCCATTAGACAAAAACCACAGGATCAGAATGACCATACCCTCCCGTCCCTTCTCCACCAATTCCGTGCACAAATTCCAACTGGATCCCTTCCTTGTGCAAGTCCCATGCTCCCGTGCAAGCCCTTCCTGCCGGATGCTCTGGCTGCCGTCCTCTCACCTGCACTCTCCAACCACACCCACTGCAGAGCCCCTGAGACCACCTCCAGGGACTGCCCCTCCGTAAACATGTTCCTAATCCTTCCAAGGAGCAGTCAGCTGGCCCCAGTCCTCAGTCCTCTGGTGATGCGCTCCCTCTCCTCCTCAGGGTCAGGTCCAGAATGTCTACACCCGCCCCCCATCAGCAGCCTAGCTGGAAGGAAAGCCCAAGGGACCAACTTGCTTAAAGGAGCATTAGAACACAGGCTGTGTTTAACCAGAATAAAACAGGCAGGGGGTGGATGGTACAGCGGCGAAGCCACCTCTCACCCCCGGGCACAGAGGCCAATGGCCTCCTCCCTCCCAGGGCCACATGGGGAAGTCGCCCTTCTCCCCTCTAGAGTCAAGAGTGAGGGTCGGTCCCTCCTTCTTCCATGGCGCCAGCCAACTCCCCGCTGCTGCCCCTCGAAGCCGCCCTTCTGCTGTGAACTTGAGCTTCTCAGACATCTTGCACAAGGACCCCAGGGTGAAGGGACAGTGCCCAGTGCCAGTTCATTCCCCCACCGTCTTGTCAGCTGGGAGGAAATCTTTAATCCATTTCACCTGGAACCCCATTTTCTACAGATGCACTTTAGCCCAGCAGGTGCCACGAGTCATCTGCAACAGACAGGCGCCGCAGTAGCACGCCAGGCCCTCTGCACGGGCGCCGAGCTCTGTGAGAGGCACTAACACAGCTCCCTTCTCTGCAGCCTTCAGCTTTGCCCTAGGAGTGGTACCCAGGGGGAGCAGGACCTGCACAGTGAGCACACAGCCCCCCTCAAAAGGGGAGGGAGGGTTAGGGGGCCCAAGAAGAGGTGGAAGCCCTGGCTGTGCTTGTCTGCCCCTATACACACGGGGCCAGTTTTTAAGTTCTCCCTGGGCAACTCTTCACATCGGACAAGAGAGAAACTAATACAGTCACTAGTCTCACCCTTGTTTTGCAGTGGCCTCACTGAACCCAGGCTAGTCTGTTTCCTGCTCAGACTGTGAAGGAATTCAGGCTTTTTGCAGTGAAGAAAGACAAGGATTCCCCGGAGTTTTGTATTAGGAATGTTGCTAGATTGTTGGTTGAAGGCATACACACTTGTTAATTTGCACCCCAAACACACCCCATGGCCTCATTTAAACCTGAGTGTTCGTGCGTGTATTCCAGCTGCCTGTGCATAGTTCCAACTTAATCAAGTACTTAATGAGTAGCTTTAATATTCGTTGTCTTCTCCATGGGCGTCTACCCTCATCAGGGCGATAGCCGCTGGCTGTCTCCACCGCCCCACGACTGCACTGAAAATTGTCCTCATCTAGAAAGTGGACTGTTTGTCCCCAAGGTGCCAAAAACCCTGCAAAGCACTTTCCAAAGGCTCCACTTGAAAAAGAGATGTTTCTACTTATAGATCTTTTAGAAACGCCAGGCAATTAGGCAGAGCTGTAAGAAAGCCCGTGGAGTGACAGTCTTTCAGAGATCCTTGGAGCGGGCCAGACACCGCCCTGAGCTGGGGAGGCAATGATACGGGAGCCCAGGCTGTAGGGAAGGGTGACCCAGTGCAGAGCGACAGACTGAGGTCACTACCAGGCAGGCGGGGCTTGAGGCTCAGGATTCCACCCTGAAGAGAGGCTTCCGCTAAGGGAGGCTGAAGTCTGAAGATGAAGAGAGACTGGTTATTCGCCAAACGTTAGGGCTGGTGCGCGCGCGCGCGCGCGCGCACACACACACACACACACACACACACACACACACACACAATTTTTTGTACAACTCCTCTATTTGTAGACAAGGAAACTGAGGCCCAACAGAGCCAGAAGACTTGTTCGAGGTCAGAGCTAATTTTAGAATCCAGCCTTGCAAAACCCAATCCCTTTCTGCTAAATCACATGGATTTTATTTATATCTCAGCTATAGGTTATCCAAATTCGCTTGGCCAATAAAACACAGAATATTGAGTTAACAAACCACATCCCTCAAGGCCACAGGCATAAATAACGATCGTGTTTTAATGCGGATGATACCTTTTCATTTTGCAAATCCAGAAGATTGCTCATCAAATCAGAATTCCAGCCAGCTTGTTCGGGGAAGACCGGGAAGGTCATAACCCCATCTAAAGTGCGTTGGGGCTGTCGGCTCTGGCTGCGCAGTGCTAATTTGGGCGTGAGCTGTGCGTCCAGACTGACTTCATGCCCCAGCCGGGTGACGCTGCTGTTCCGCAGCGGGGGTCGCTCCCCGGGTTCCAGCAGTCCCCGGGGATTTACCGCGGCCGAGGTGGCCGCGCTGTCGCCAGCGTGTGCCCGCGCTGCACGCCGAAACATTCATTGGGAAAGCGCGTGAGACGCCGTTCCCAGCGCGCGCGTGTGCAGGGCAGAGCGCGGCGGCGAAGCATAGACCGGGGATACCTCTGGGGACCCGCTGCAGGAAGGCGGGGAGGGACGGTTTCTTCCGACCTAGACGCTGAGAAGTTGTGTACAATCAGACACGAGAATGTATTCGTGCGTTACGCGAGTAATACGTACGTATTCGACTCTTTTTTTCTCCAAAAGATTCTTAAACAAAAGTACAGTCTCGATCGAACAAAGGTGCTTTGCGGCAGGGCGCCCCTCTCGGATGGAAACGGGCTCCTCTAGAAGCCGGAGCAACTTCCCTTGACTCTCCCGGACCCCCAGGTGGAAGGGGCGCCCCTCCGCCGAGCCCTGCGGGGAGCCGGACCGTTGGTCCGCTGGGGCTGGCCGCCCCGGCCGCTCGCTTCCCC